TTTATCTATTGGAGACAGTAACATCAATCGTGTTACTACTATTTGATTAATTATTTTTATATTGTAGTAGCACGGTGTTACTGACGATGTTATATTATTAATTAATTTATTAATAAATTTATTAATATTAATTAGCATTTTGTAATAAAATTAAAAATTTATATTTTGTTTATTATTTAAATATTAAAAATCATTTATACAAGTTATTAAATTAGTAGCGATAACTAATCAAAAATTATATTTATATATGACTATTATTTTTTTATAATAATTAATTTAATAAAAATTTTAAATTATAAATAGTATTAAAATAATAAAATAGTTTTAAATAAAATATATATAGTTTTAAAAATAAATTTTATATAATATTTTAATTACAACATATACAATCTTTTGTACTGTTTTGAATTAGTTCTAGTAAATATGGTTTCGTGTAACTTGAAATATATGAATGTATATTATTGTCTGGAAATTTGCTCATCCAAATAAACTTTGATTCGGTTTTATTCCATAATATAGATGCATTTAAATTAATTATTGTATGAACTGATAAATAACAATTATCAATTTCATCTTTTATTATATAATCTAGCTGCTTTTGAGATTTAATTTCTTCTAATATTTTATAAATATATTGAAGAGAACTAAATATTATAAAAATATTTAGTATAATTAAATAAAAATTAATTATTTTTATTTTCATTTTATTTAGACAATATGGACGAGTCAACTATACAATACAATTGCCATGACTGTAATGAGAGTTTTTCTTCACATCGGTTATATTTACATCATCAAAGACTTTCACACCATAATAAAATCATATCAAGTACTAATTGTCAAATATGTTTATTAGAAATTAGTCATTACAGCGAAGTGAGAAAACATTATGATAATTGTTTTAAAAACTCAAATATTACAATGCCGATAAATTGTTTACTTTGTGGTATTCTATTTTATACTATGTTTTCGTTTATTAAACATAAATTAATAGAATTTACCCAAACTGGATCAGGAAATATAAGTAAACTAAAATTACCAGAAAATCTAAACTTCAAATTATCAAAACATGCTTTCAAACATTTTATTCAACAATATGAACTTTATCCAATTGAAGATTACAAAAACAGTGAAGACTTTTTCTTAAAATATAAATATGATATTAAAAGATTAATTGATTATGTCTTGGAAAAATTTGTATCAACAAAAATTCAATTTTGTTTGCAATGTACATTTTATAAAGAAACTGCTGGCGTTAGAACTTATACAATAAGTTATTTTACAAGTGATAATTTTATAATAAATAAATATTATAAAAATAAATATATAATAAATCGCTTAATAAATTATTTTGATAATAAAATTAATACATTTGAATCAATTGGTAGCGGTTGGATAATAAATGAAATAGACAGATTAGATGTACGAATAGCTAAATACAATCCACTAAAAGGAGGTTGTGAAACTACTAAACTACCTGATCATGTGTTAAGAAAACGTGCAATTATTTCAATAAAATCTAATGATAAAAAATGTTTTATTTGGTCTGTATTAGGATTTATTGCTAATAATTATTATAAGTTTAATAATAAAAAAAGTCCTCATTTAGAACGTTTATCTCAACTTAAACCATTTTTAAAATATATAAATTTGAAAAATTTAAAATTCCCATTAAATTTAAAATCTATTAAAAAATTTGAAATTAATAATAAACATCTAAATATTCGTATAAATATTTATACTTGGGAAAAAATTTCAATTTATGAAGAATCAATTGTACCACTTTATATATCAAAACAAAAAGCAAAGCATTCTATTAAATTATTGTTGCATAATAATCATTTCTATTATATTAAAAATTTCAATAGATTGTGTGGTAGTATGCAAGCAAATTATCGACATTTCTGTTCTAATTGCTTAAATGGATTTTTAACTAAAATTAAATTAAACGAACATTATAAAAATTGTTTACATTTTAAACCTCTTACTGTCAAAATGTCAAAAAAACCAACTATGAAATTTGAACACTATGAGTATATGTATAAATTTCCATATGTAATGTATGCTGATTTTGAATCTTTATTAGTAAAAGAAAAATCGCAACTTAATAAAAAAACTAAACAAACAGCTCAACATGTCGCTTGTGGTTACTCTATTATTGTTATAAAAAATCAAAATGAAATTTACTTTTATAAAGTTCACAGAGGAAAAAACTGTATGAATCATTTTTTAAATACATTATCTTTAATTTCAACACAAATAAATGCTGAATTAGTTCAAGAAAATTCAATGATAATTACTGATTCTGAATTAAAAGAACATCATTTATCAACTATTTGCTTTTTATGTAAAAACTATATTAAACCTGAAGATAAGGTTTATGATCATGATCATTTAACTGGAAAATATAGAGGATCTGCTCATAAAATGTGTAACATAAGATTCAAACTACCTTATAAAATACCTTTATTTTTTCACAATTTAAAAAATTACGACTCGCATTTTATAATAGCAAGTTTACAATCAAATTATTTTAAAAGCTGTACTGTTATACCACAATCTATAGAAAAATTTATTTCAATATCTTTGGATAATATAAAAGTACTTGATTCGTGCCAATTTTTAAGTGAAAGTTTAGATGTATTAGTAAAAAATTTAAAATCTTCAAATAATAATTTTTCGATAACTAAACAAATATTTTGTAATAAAATTAATAATGACTTTATTGAAATGTTATTTAAAAAAGGAGTATATCCATATGAATACATGGATAGTTGGGAAAAATTTGATGAACCAGAGTTACCAACAATTGAAAAATTTTATTCTAAATTAAATGATACATCAATCAGTGTTGAAGATTACAATTTTGCTAAACAAATTTGGAAAATAATGAAAATTAAAAATTTGGGAGAATATCATGATTTCTATTGTTTATTGGATACAGCTTTATTATGTGATATTTTTCAAACTTTTAGAATAATGATATTTGATAAATATGAACTTGAACCTTGTCATTTTTATTCTATACCTGGTTTGGCGTGGGCCGCCGCTTTAAAATTAACAAAAATAGAAATTGAACTAATGCAAGATATTGACATGTACATGTTTATTGAACAAGGAATAAGAGGAGGAATTTGTAATGTCTTTAAAAGACATTCAATTGCTAATAATAAATATTGTAAAAATTTTGATGATAAAAACGACACTATCTTTTTAACTCATTTAGATGTAAATAATCTATATGGTAAAAGTCTTAGCGAAAAATTACCTTTAAAAAATTTTAATTGGGTTGACATTACTACTCTTAACAATATAAATTGGAATACTATTGAAACAAATGGTGACAAAGGATATATTTTAGAATGTGACTTAGAATATCCTTCAAATTTACATGACAAACATGATTTTCCACTTGCTCCAGAAAAATTAAAAATTACAAACAATTTATTAAGTGATTATCAACACAATTTATTGAAAGATCTTAAAATGTATGGGTATAATCGATCAGCTACGGAAAAATTATTATTAACCTTTTATGATAAAACTAAATATATTATTCATTTTAAAAATTTAAAACTGTATTTGGAATTAGGATTAAAATTAAAAAAAATTCACCGCGGAATAGGGTTTTATCAAAGCGATTTTTTAAAATCTTATATATCAATAAATACAAATCTTAGAAAAATTGCAACAAATGATTTTGAAAAAGATTTGTATAAATTAATGAATAATTCTGTATTTGGTAAAAGTATTGAAGACAAAAGAAAACATATAGATATAAAATTTGCTTTAAATTGGAAACAAGCAAATAAATATATTCAAAAATTAAATTTTAATACTGCACAGATTCTAACTGAAAACTCTGCTTTGATTAAAATGAATAAGACAAATGTAACTTTAGATAAACCAATATTTATTGGATTTTCCGTTTTAGAACTTTCTAAATATTACATGTATTCTATGCATTACAAAGTTTTTAAAAATCATTATAATAATAAAATAAAATTATTATATACAGATACGGACAGTTTAGTTTATGAAATTAAAACTAACGACTATTATGAAGATTTGAAAAAATATTTCTCACCTATAATGGATTACTCAAATTTTTCAAAAAATCATAGTTTATATAATGACAAACATCAAAAAATGATTGGATATTTAAAATCAGAATATGGAGAAAAACCAGTAAATGAATTTATTGGATTAAAAAGTAAATTATATTCTATTAAATATGATGAAGTTATGAATAAACGTGTGGCTAAAGGTGTAAAAAAATATATTATAAATAATTATATGACACATAATCATTACATAAATGTTTTAAATGAAGAAAAATATTTTAATACGACGATGAACAAAATAGAATCTAAAAATCATAGATTGAAATCTGTTCAATTACAAAAATTTGTATTACAACCTTTTGACGACAAATCATTCATTTTAGATGATGGTGTGAATTGTCTTCCGTTTGGACATTATAAATCTTATTTATAATTTATATAGATACATCTCAAAATTCATCAATTCATTTAAACGATCAGATAGCATCAACATCATCATCATCATCATCAACTCCCCCATTATCTCTAGAAAAATTTAGCAAAATAGTTATTAAAAAAATAACTTCTCCACAACAATTAAACCAGTTATTAAATATGAATTCTGTGGCAAAAATTTCTAATAACATAATTAATGGAGCCTATATAACTGAAAAATCTCTACCCATTACAGAAGATAATATTCAAAAAAGTTTAATTAAGTTGTCATCTTTTGGTATTATTAATATAATACCTTTGTTTGATTATATAATTGAGCCAATGAATAGATGCATTATTAAGATTAAAAACAACTATGATATACCAAAATTTACAGCTGGAAAATTTTTTGATATAATTGAATTAAAAAATGTAAATTTAATTATGCGTTGCTTTTGGGTTGATAATAATGATACTTATATTAAAATAGAAATAATTAACGAAAATATTTTAGACAATTACATGTTCAGAAAAGATCTTTTATTAGCAAATGCAATAGTTGCAGATATTAAATATTATAATGAACGATCATTTGAATGTATATCTTCACTTCCAAAATGTATTGTAGCAAATGGTAAGATATTTAAGGTATTTATTTGTTAATTTTAAATATTATAAACGTTATTTTTGTTTAGATGAACAATTGAAAATTAACTTAATAAATGATGGAAAGATACCAACAAAAGGAAGTGAACAGTGTGCAGGTTATGATCTCTATGCAAATGATGTAGGAGTATTGCAACAAAATGAAAGAAAATTAATTTCAACTGGTGTAAAAATGCAAATTCCGAATGGATGTTATGGACAAATATGTGCACGAAGTTCAATGGCATTAAAGGGTATAGATGTAGGAGCTGGTGTCATCGATTCAGATTATACTGGTGAAATAAAAGTGCTATTGATTAATAATAGCATTAATAATTTTGCCTATATTCATGGAGATAAAATTGCACAAATTATTATATTACCATTGAAAAAAGTGACTATGTTTAATGCAACTTTTAAACAAACACAAAGAGCTGAAAAAGGATTTGGTTCTACTGGAAAATAATTAATACATTTTATTTAACTAAATATTTACTATAATCACGTTTATTAATTTTAATTTTTAAATTTGTATTTTATATATATATATATTTAATGGATTATTATGTTTATAAATTATATAACTATTATTTAATCATTTTTTTTGTTTTTAATAAACTTTATATATCAATTTATTTAAAAAATATTTCATTATATGAATATTTTTTTATTATTATATATTTTCAATATTGTAATTATTTTATTAAAAAAATAAAAAATAATTTAAATTAAAACATTTTTATTTTTGAATAATTAAACTAAGTACAGTACAAATAAAATTAAATGAGTTTTTTCTAGTTGATTATAATATGTGCCAACAAATGATGATTATTTATACTTCTTATAACAATTCTTTTATTCCTATAAAATACTAAAAATTAATTGTTATTAGTATTAATTTAATAATTATATACCTCATTATCCCAATTATTGGTAAATACATTGTCACAATCTTCATTATTTTTCCATTCTTTAATTGTATCCAATATAATTTTTAATTGTTTCAAGTTTTCCATAGGGAATCCATATTGAATATACATTTCTTTAATGTCAAGTTTATTGCGAATAACTTCTTTAACTAATAATGATTTGATGCATTTAGCTTCATTTAATAGAGAATCAAAAACGTAGTCAAATTCTTCACTTAAAATACTATATATAGTTTGTTTAACACTATCAGACTTATAAAGATTATTCAAAGAAGGTATATCATCATTCAATGGCTTCATTATTAATGATTTAAAATAAAATTTTTCAACTATTTATATTAATATAAAACTTGGCCTTGAGTTAAATCCGATTTATTGTCGTTTAATAATTTATACAAATATTCAGCTTTAGTTTTTGCGCAGAGAGGTTTGTAGATAGATTTAAGTCTATCATGAATATTACAAGGTTGAATAGTTATATCATTTTGTTGAATAACCATTAACTCTCCATCAGTTGGAATAGTTTTATCACAAATTTTGAGAACATCAATGTTATCAATTTCAATAATTAAATGACCAAATCCTGCTTTATATAATAGTCCTTTAATCCCTTCATCATTTTTAGTTATTCCTATATACTTTGCTTTAGTATTGGAATTTAAATGATATATTGCTTTAATAACAGGTACAAACTCACTTGCTGATAATCCATACTCAAACTTTTTATTGAATTTTAATCCATGAAATTCATTTTCAAGGTAGTCAATTAAATATTGATTTGAAACATCAATTTTATTTCGATTTATACGACAATTGAATGGTACACTCCCACTTATATTGTTATAACAAAATCCAATTTCTCTTAAAATAAATTCACAATCAATTTTGAAACCATTAGAACATATAATAATTTTTAAATCATTGAAACTTGGTGAAAGAAAAGCCATAATAAACGAATATTAACTAAAACAAAATTTTAAAAAGTTTCTTTATATATAACTAAATTCAAGGACATTAATAAATATATAGTGTAATAATAATTAATACTAATTATTAATATTTTAAAATTTATAATGGCAACATATGATGCAACATTTAAACACCCAAGAAGATTTATTATCTATGGTCCATCGGGTTCGGGAAAAACTGAATTTGTTTGTAAATTGTTAAATAGCATGCATGAATTATTTGGATTTTATTTTGACAAAATTGTATATTATTCTGGACAAGGTTTTCCTATAATAAACAATGTTCATGGAATAAATATTAAAAAAGTTAATACTTTTGATAAAAGCAATATTGAAATGTTTGATTCTAACGAAAATAATTTATTAATAATTGATGATAATATGCATACTGTAGGCAATGATTTATTTATAAGTGATTTATTTACTAAATTATCACATCATAAAAATATAACAGTTATATTGTTAATACAAAATTTATTTCCTAAAAATAAATATATGCGTGATATTTCAACTAATTCCACATATGTTATTTTAATGAGTAATCCAAGGGAAACACTTTCTGTCAAAATATTAAGTAATCAAATTGATAGCAGTAATCCAAAGTTTATATATGACTCTTATATTGATGCAACAAAAAACAAACCCTTCAGTTATTTATTATTGGATTTTGACCAAAACACACCTGATAATATAAGAGTTAGATCTAACATTTTTCATGAAAATGAAAACCAATGCGTCTACATTAAAAACAAATAAATTAAAAAATATTTTACGTTGTGTTTCATATTTGAAAAAATTAAGTACAGCAAAAACAAAAAAAGATCGAAAACAATTATTAAAACAAGCTAATAATTGTATTATAAATGCAATATCAGAAATAGCTAAAAATTGTTTACTTGGAAATATACCATTAAAAACTTGTGATTTCAATAAACTTAAAATTTATAAAAATAAATTGCGACAACTTTCTATAAAATCTCCTATAATTAAAAGAAAAAATATTTTAATACAAAAAGGTGGCAATATCTTTTTAAAAATACTTGTTCAACAAGCAATATCTCATTTAATTAGTCATTTTGGTAAAAAAATCATAAATAAAGTCAGAGAAAAATATACGTAAAATGAGTTTTAAAAAACTTAAATTAATAAATGATAATAATTCCAATAATAAAATTTCAGAGTTTTTAAATGTTCAAAAATTACAAACTGAACCAAATTTATTACGATTAAATGACTTGGACAAAGAAATACATTTAATATTAAACACAAATTATACAGAGCGTGACAAAGCTAAATTATATGCTGAATCTTTAAGAAGATTTTTGATATTTAAAAGGAAATTTAACAATATTGAAGATAAAGATTATATTAATGTAACAAATAATGTATTTGAAGATAATGTTCCCATAAATAGAATCCCTCAAAAAATAGAAGATAATGATGATGATTATGTAACTCCAAAAATTTTAAGAAGAAAAGCATTTACTACTTTCAAAAATAAGAATAAACTTGGTCAAAATAAATTAAATATTAAACCTAATGTATTATCGTTAATTAAAAAACAATTATTTACAGCTAAACGTAATTACAACTTAAGAAATTTAGAAAAGCCAAATTATAAGTTACCTAATGTCTCAAAATCATTTGAATGGAAAAAATATTAATAAAACTATATCTGAAGCATACTATAATATTACAAAATCATCAAGTTTTAGTGGAATTAATAATTTATATAAAGTAATTAAAGAAGAATATCCATTTATAACATATAATGAAATTAAAAGATGGTTAACAAAACAAAATGTATATGGAATTCATCGACCAGTGATACATAAATTTAAAAGAAATTCAATTGTTTCTCGTTATATTGATCATAAATGGCAGGCAGACTTAATTGAAATTAAATATCCTACAATAAATAAGAATTATAGATATGTACTTATGGTAATTGATAATTTATCAAAATTTGGATGGGGAATTCCACTTAAAAATAAAACTTCTAAAACAGTAAAAGCAGCTTTTATTAAAATATTTAAATTATCTAAACGCAAACCTAGTATATTATCTACTGATGCTGGGCTTGAATTTACTAATAAACAATTAAAAAAATATTTAAAGTGGAGAAAAATAAAACATTTAGTATTAAAAGATTCATCTAAAGCTAGAGTAGTTGAACGCTGGAATCAAACAATTAAAGTTAAACTATACAAATATATGTATTATAACAAAACGAAAAATTTTATTAATGTATTAAAAAATATTATTAATAACTATAACAACACGACACATAGCAGAACAAAATATAAACCAGTTGATGTTAATAAAAATAATGAGAAAAAAGTATATAATAATTTATACAAAATAAAAGTTTCACAAGAAAATCAAAATTACAAAATTGGTGATTTTGTTAGAATACAATTAATGAGAAATATATTTCAAAAAGGATACATTCCTAATTATAGCAATGAAATATTTATAATACTTAAAATATTTTATACATCACCTTATTATAAATATAAAGTAAAAGACAAAAAAGGTGTAATTATAAGAGGTTCTTATTACTCTAATGAATTAATAAAAATTGATTAAAAATGAATTATTTTGAAAGTGACGATAAATACTTTTATTTAACTAATAATAATAACGAATGTACTGTAGAAGTAGATTATGATCCATCCATATCTTTTAAACAACCACAAGAGTGTGCTTTAGCTGAGCTAATTATTCCTAAAAGACTTGATTTAAAAGAACCTTTAGAAAATTTAGTTCTTACTTATAATTTCAAATGGGTACCAGAATCATTTTATGGTGACATAAAAAATGATATTGTTGAGCACGATAAACATAGATTAAGTAATATTACAAAATTTGTTGTGCAATTTGATCCAAATTATTCATTAGGAGAAAATATAACTGAAACTTACGAAATATTACATAACAAAGATATTCACTGGAAAGACCATATAAAAGAAATTATAGCTAAAATTAATGGAAACATTGAAAATACAATTAAAAAAAGATTTCCAAAATCTTTCAAAATGCCTTCAACAAAGGTAACTGGCGGTTATGGAGAATATACTCCTGGTTTAGAATGGAAAATTAATAATATTGTATTTGATTTTGATAGTACAAAAAATATCTATAAAATTAAAAATGGAAATTTTTATATGCCAACAAAATTTTGGTATAATTTAGATGATGATGTTTTAATAAGTAAAGAAGAATATGAAAAAATAAAACCAACGAATAAAATAGCAATACCTGACAATGAAAAGAAAGTAGAATATTATTTGTTAAGAGGTGTTTTTTATATTGATTTTAACGAAAATTTAAAAAAACTATTAGGTTTGAAAAATTATAATATAAATAATTTATTTGATATTTTTTCTTTATATAAAATAATAAACAATGAAAAAATTAATTTATCATATCAAAATTCTAACATTCCTAACGCTTTAAAAACAACAATTATAAATATAGAAGAAATTAAAAGTGATGTTCGTCCATTAAGTGTTTCGAGAAATATAAATTATTTAATTGTTTATTGTAATATAATTATTGAATCTAATTATCAAAATAAAAAATCTAATATATTAAGAATTATCCCTACAAATATTTCGGAAAAAGATGATGTTATAAAAATTGATTTCAACGTTAAAAATTTTATACCATTAAAATACAATGAATTTAATACAATCACTTTGCGTATCACTGATGAAGAAAACAACAGTCTTATTTTTAGAAAAGGAAAATTATTTGCTACGCTTATAATAAGACCTCAGTACAAAATATAACTTAGTTGTATTTTTGTATTCAACATGTGTACATCTTATCAGAATGGATTATAATTCATATTATTGTACACAAGCAAAAAATAATCAAAAAGGTGAAGGTATACCAATTCAAGGTATAAATCAAATTGAACCTAATAATATTGATTTTTTGCCACATAAATCAAAATCTGTAAAAACTAAAATTTATAAAAACAAAGTTTCTGGTTTAAGAAGAAAACCCAGAACTAATAAAAAAAATAAAAAACGATTTATTAAAAAATCAAAAAAAGGTAAAAATAAACAAAAACGTAATTTGGATATATTTGCTTAAATATGGCAACTGAAATTTTAAAAGATGAATTAGATTTATTTGAAAAAGTAAAATATCAAGGAACAATTGAAAGTCAACAAATACTTGAATATCGACCTAAATCAAATGTAATAGATTCAAACACAATTGATTTTGAAATTCAAGCATCAGCTGATGAGTATATTGATATGCGAAATATTTATTTATATTTGACTTGTAAATTAACAAACAGAGACGGAACAAATTTTGCAGCAGCAATTAATAATTTTGCGCCGACTAATTACGTTTTAAACACAGCATTTGATCAATTAGCTATTTATCTAGGATCTACATTAGTGAGTCAAGCTGCTCAAAATTATAATTATATGTCATTTATTGAAGCGGTTACTGAGCAATCAAATTATTCTAACTTAACTGTTGCATCATCTGGCTTTGTTACAACTTTTTGGACTCCAGCATATAATTATGAAAATCCAAATGAACATTTAGTAACTTTATGTAATACTAGTAAAGTAATGCAATTTTACGGAAAATTACATGGACCAATATTTACTACAAATAAATTATTAATTAGTGGGGTACCTATTAAATTAGAATTTACTAAAGCAAACGAAAGATGGCCAACAGTTTCTGAACAAGCAGCAATGACAGCAGATCAATATCCCTTGTTAAAAATTACAGATATGAGTGTTTTTGCTCGAAAAGTTAAAGTAACACCAAATTTACTTAATGCACACGCACAAGCATTGAGAATTTCTAATGCATTATATCCAGTTAAACGACCTAATATTAAAGTAGTTAATCTAACTCAAGGACAATCAACTTTTAATATAGATAATTTATATCTAGGTCAATTACCTAGTAAAATTATTTTAGGTATGGTTGACGATGCTGCTTACAGAGGAAATAGTTATCGAGATCCTTTAAGATTTCAAAATTTTAATTTAAATAGTTTGAATTTAAATGTAAATGGAGATATGATACCTAAAGTACCGTATCAACCTAACTATACTACAGATTTATTTGCTAGAGAATACCACGATTTATTATTGAATTTAGGATATAATTACGTTAATAATCCATCTCCAATTGATGTTAAAAATTATAAAAATGGTTTATGTTTATATGCTTTTAATTTAAATAACGATTTTAGTTTTACTAACAAATATATAAATTTACCTAAAAGTGGTTATATTAATGTACATTTAAAATTTTCAGAAAATTTAGCAAATGCTATAAAGTTAATTTGTTATGCTGTATTTGATAATACTATAGAAATTGATGAAAATAGAAATATAACTACTGATTACTAAGCATGAATTCTCTTCAAATATTAAGTTTTATTAAAAGAGATAAAATAGCAAATAAACAATTTTGCGGTGTTTTAGCTTTAAATCAAATAAGTTATATAAAATCTATTAAACCGTGTGCATTTATTGTTAACACGCATAAATCATCACAGCCTGGAGAGCACTGGTTTGCCATTTATGTGCCACTTACTGGACCAATTGAATATTTTGATTCATTTGGAAGAAAACCTTTTCACGCAGAAATATATTCCTTTATTAAATTAAATGGTAAAAAATATATATTTAATCAAATACCATTACAACATTATTTGTCAACTACTTGTGGTTATTATTCTATATTTTATATATTATTGCGAACAAGAAATTATAGTCTTAAAAGAATATTAAACTTTTTTTTACGTAATAGATTATTGAATGATAAAATAATTATTAAAATAATTAATAAAATTAAAAAAAAATGAAATCGGTTAGATTCTGTGATAATGTACAAGTAAAAATAATGTATGTTTGGCCATATGCTTCTAAACAAGCAAGAATTTCTAATTGGCATTGGATAATATGGGATAGACGTAATCATGAAATAAAATGTAAACTTATTGGAGAAAATATATCTTATGTTTTAGAAAAAGAATTTAGAGAAAAAATTTTTAATGAACGTTTTACTAAATAATATATTTTTTATTCATGTAAAATTTTATGAAATATAAATTTTTTGTTTTAATACTATAATTGCATTACATATTGGACAATTAGTTAATTTCATTGAACATGTATAACAAGTTAATAAATGAGAACATGGAAAAAATACAATATCAAATTCATTTATATAACATATTTTACATAACATTTCATTTTCTATTTTATTATTCATTATTACATTAGTTATATCAAAACATTTTATTTTTTCATTATTTAGTCTTTCATTATGAATTTTAGTACATTCTTCTATAAAAACTAAGCTTTTATTTTCACGCAAAAATGCACAATGTGGATAATATTTCGCATGTTCAATCCATGGATCATCACCAGGTAACCATAGACATAGTCCACCTTTGCATTCATAACATTTCAAAAAATCTTGTAATCCAATTGAGTAAAATCCTGCTTCAGCAAATTGTTGATAATTATTTACTGTAATCCTTTCTGTCCATTGAAAATTTTTATATGACTCTAGTCTTTTATTTAAGTCACTGTAACTTATATCATCCATTTCACTTGTTCACTGCTTTCACATAAAGACTATTATGACTTGAAAATTTATTATACAATTGCTTTTATATTATATTTTGCACAATGAAACAATAAAAAATAAAATAAAAATAAAAAAAATATCTCCAATAAATCTAAATAAATGTATAAAATATTAATTTTTCAAAATTTATGTCTATATGTTATGGTAAAAATCTGTAAAGGAGCTTTATGTTATTCAAAAAAAATTAAAAGTAATTTTTTAATGTTTATTTTATATAGTATTAATAAAATTAATTTTATTTTCAAATTTGATGTTTATGTTTATTTAAAAACGTGGTCAAAGGAGTTAAGTGTTAAAACCTAGACAACATATTGTATATAAAGAAATTAATATTTAATCAAATTATATTCATTATATTTTATATTAAATTATATCGCATTGTAAATAGTTTTTAATGAGATATAGTTTAGCATAAAATTTAATAAATTAATAATAAGTATAGTAATATTTTATACTTAATTTAATATAGTCAATTATTGTTTTAACTATTATTAAATTTAATATTATTATAAAACTACGTAAATATGATTTCTATTTTAAAATATCAAAATTTAATTGATTTTCTTGTCAGATATTATTTCAATTTGTTTTATGAAAAATCCGTTCAAAACAAATCACATAATTTTATTGAATACATAATATATTTAATATTTTTGATCGATATTATAAAATATTGTCTATTAATTTATGTTAATCATATAGATATTTATCTATCAATATTAATCTATGATATGGCCTACTTTATGGGCAATTTATATCAATATAATTTAATTATATTTTTATTGACGACATTGTTTTATTGTTATATCTATAAAATGTTACATTTATCACGTGACCAAATCTGGTATAAACTAATTGAATCATTTACTGTACAAATGGATATCAAACAATTGATACCAAATTTAGATATTGATAATAATCTAATTAATAAAACTAGAAATTATATTCAATATACTTATAAAATTCAATTTCTAATTTATACAAATTTCAGTAAGTACACATATTAATTATGAATTTTTAATATATTCAATTTAAATAAATAATTTGATCTTAGATAATATTTTATGTTATTATGTTTTTTTTAAATAGTTATTATAATAACAATAATATGGTTTTCAATAATCTATAAATACTATTCATTGATAACATTTATTCAATCAATTGTTTGGCAATTGTTACAAATGATACCGATTTACGTAATGATGTTCAATGGCTTTATTGGTAGTTCAGTCCTGTCATCACTAATTTATATTTTATTTATTTTAATTAATAAAATTAATTCAACAATACGTGGATGTAATCTAAATGGTATAACAACTTACAAATCAATTAATTTGTTTATTGAAAATCATAATAGTTTTTGTCGACAAATCAAAGATTACAATAAGCCGTTTTCAAAAATGTGTTTCGCATTTATATTGACATTAATGCCAATTAGTTTACTAATCATACATCAAGTTTTATTTGAATTGTTAGACTATCAAATAAAAGTATTTTATGTTTTCTGTAATATTGGTATATGTATTATGATATTATTACTTCAATATCTTTTTGCAAAACTGTCGGCAAGTATTCACCGATCGTGTCTATTATTGTCACGCATTCAATGGCGAGTCAATGGATACCCGTTTCGGATGCGATTCAAAGTCAAACTAATGGCTTATTTTGAACGACTGTCCAGTGATCGCAAAATCGGTGTAACCCTCGGACCCCATTGTAATGCATTAACAATGACATTGTTTTATCAGGTAATTACTTAAATATTAAGATTTAAGATATTTTTTATAATAATGTTTAACATTGAATAAAAAATATTTTTTCTATATATTATTATAATGTAAATATGTATAATGTAAAAAATATATTATTATAAAATATTGTCGATATTATCTATTGGTCTATAAGTTTGCTGAAAAAAGTCAACACAAAACTCAATGATTTATCAAAATTTGATTTATTAATAAACTTCGAACAAAATAAAAAATATTTAATTATCAATGTATAAAATTACATGATTTTTTTATATTAGCTATTATTTTTTTATTATATCTTTTAAAATATTATTATTATTATTATCATGAATTTTATTTTATTATTTTGTTATACTTGAATATATTATTACCAAAATATCGCGTTTATAACATGTTTGTTATTTTTATATTATTAAAAAAGAGTTAAAAAATTATTATCTACTTTTTTATTAATCATAGATTTATGAAATAACTTGTTTTAATTGAGTTATAACGTGAAAACATTGAATATTAAATTTTAAAAAACTAAATAAATAAAAAACATTTACTTTAATTATGATTATATTTATTATATTGTAAATGTTTACTAATATAAATATAGTTTAACATCAAATTTAATAACATAACATAAATTTATATTTATTTTACTTTTATTTACTTTTATATTATCAATGGTTGTGTAACTATTATTTAATTTAGACTGTAATTTGCTGTTTGTATTTTATGAACTTATTATTATGATATTATGCTATATCTATTATAATGTAAATATTTACTAATATAAATATAATTTAGCATAAAATTTAATAACATAACATACAATTATATTTATTTTATATTTATTTTATTTACTTTACTATTATCAATGGTTTTGTAACTATTATTTAATTTAAACTGTAGTTTGCTTTTAGTATTTTATAAACTTATTATTAAACTACAGTATGTTATGTTTAGAAAGTTTTATATATCTATATATATATTATAATACAATTATTATTAATAAAAATTTTAAAAATATATAATATTGTTAAAAATTTTATAAAAATTTCTAAATTTAGTTGAATTATAACTTGAAAACATTGAATATATTTTATAAACGATTTATAAACATTTTCACAAATTATTATATTAATTATATTTTATATTAAATTATACCGTATTGTATATATTTTTTAATGTGATGTAGCATTTAGCATAATATTTAATAAATTCAATATAATTATAATATTATTATTACTTAACTTATAATGGTCAATATTTATTTTATATTTGTGTCAACTATTATTAAATTTAATTTTTGTGAAAACTTGTTTTGTATTTTATAACTAATTATATTATAAACATTTACTAATTTAATATATATAAAAGTTCAGCAACAATAATAAAATAACAATAATTATAATAATATTGATTTAGTTAATTTAATATAATCAAAAGTTGTATAAACTATTATTTTGTTTAAACTTTATTTTGTAATATTTATTTATTAATTTATTAATCAAAATTATTAATATTTTTTTAAAAAAATATGATTCCTGTTTTAAATTATCAAAATTATATTGATTTTATTGTAAATTATTATTTCAATTTGTTTTATAAAAAATCTGCTGAAAACAAATCACACAATTTTATTGAATATCTAATATTTTCGACATATTTTATCGATATTATAAAATATTGTCTATTGATTAATGCCAATGATATTGATAAACATTTTATACTCTATGATATGGCCTACTTTATGGGCAATTTATATGAATATAATTTAATTATATTTTTATTGACGACATTGTATTTTGCATATCTATATAAAAAGTATCATTTATCACGTGACCAAACCTGGTATAAATTAATTGATGCAATTACTGTACAAATAAATATAAAACAATTGATACCAAATTTAGATATTGATAATAATGTAATGATTAAAACTAGAAAAATTGTCCAGTATATTTTTAGAATTGTTTTTATATTTTATACTAATTTCAGTAAGTACAAATATTAATTATGAATTTAAATATATTCAGTTTAAATAAATAATTATAATTACAAATAAATATTTAATTTTTTATAAAATAGGTATAGTAATAACAATACTGTGGTTTTCAATAATTTATAAAAACTATTCATTGATAACATTCATTCAATCAATTGTTTGGCAATTGTTACAAATGATACCTTTATATATAATAATGATCGATAGTTTTATTGGTATTTCATCACTGATAGCAATCTATTATATTTCATTTGTTTTAATTAATAAAATCAATTTAACTATAGTTGAATACAATCAAAATGATATAATAACTTACAAATCAATTAATTTGTTTATTGAAAATCACAATAGTATTTGTCGACTATTCAATGATTACAATACACCGATTTCAAAATTTTATTTAGCATATATATTGACATTAATGCCAATCAATTTACTAATCATACATCAAGTTTTATTTGAACCGTTAGACTATCAAATAAAAGTATTTTATATTATCTGTAGTATTAGTATAAGTTGTGTTATATTCATATTTCAATACCTTTTTGCAAAACTATCGGTTAATATCCATCGGATGAGTCTATTGTTGTCACGCATTCAATGGCGAGTCAATGGATACCCGTTTCGGATGCGATTCAAAGTCAAACTAATGGCATATTTTGAACGACTGTCCAGTGATCGCAAAATCGGTGTAACTCTTGGACCCCATTGTAATGCATTAACAATGTTATTGTTTTATCAGGTAATTAATTAATTATTAAAATAAAATATAATTTTAATAATGTTTAATATTAAATAAAACTATTTTGTTTGTTTTAGATTTTTATAAAATATTGTCGATATTATTTATTGGTCTATAATAGATACTGGCAGGAAAAGCTTACTAGCTTAATTTTTAAATAAATTGATGACGTAGTTTATTAAACATAATAAAAACTTATAAAAAATATCATCATGTACATATAAACTATTACTAATTTGCAAATAATAACGTAAAATTTTAATTTAAAAATTAAGCTAGTAAGCTTTTCCTGCCAGTATCTAGTCTATAAATTTGCTGAAAAAATTCAACACAAAACTCAATGATTTATCAAAAATTTGATTTATTAATAAATTTCAAAAAAATAAATTTCTAATATTAAAATTGTTATATTGTAGATAATGAAAAATTTATTTATTAATTATTTGTTTACTAAAAAACTACAAAAATA